ATATTATAAGAAGATAGGATATAAAATTCTTAAGCACTTCATTCCATCATTTAATGAATATAGTAATATTGTAATTTCATCGCAAATTTTTGTTTCACTTTCATTGAAAGGATTTGAAATCTTTAAAATGGTAAAACATAAAATGGACATAAATTTGTAAGAACAGTGACAAATTCAAAATTTTAGTGGAAAATCACTCTTTGACAACATAATACAAAATATAGAAATTACGGGAACTGCAACAACACAGCCAAAAATAAAAAAAATCCACTATATCATTACTTTTTGACACAATCATGGTTCTGTTACTGATAAGAAATCGAATGCTTTCAATGAGTTAAAATATATGTGTGAGTCGTTCCTATGAAAAAACTTTCAGTTTGTGTTTGAAAGCAATTCTTTTCTGAAAATTAAAAAAAGAGAATGGAGAAATCACAACTTAAGATCTTAAAATCTTTAACTATAGTGGGGCATTCTTCCTGCATAGAATAGAACTGAGATTTTTGGTGGCTTATCTAACCGGTCATCATAGCGTGCATTATCATCTTATTAAGATAAGCCTGAATCAAAATTAAAGAATGTCATCTCTGCTTGGAGGCGGATGAGACCTCCGCCTTACAAAGAAAGTGATTTTCAGCTTTGATTCGGATCAGGAGACTCTAAAAGTAAATAAACTCGTCCAAAGTTAATCAAACCTAATTTATATTTTGTTCAATACTACTAAAACTGTCTGTTTTTTGGTAAGCATGAATTCTATCAGAATTATTTGAAAATTATTTTAAAGCACCTGATCAATGTTCTCTTTTGTGGACCCTTTAGAAGCAAAAAAGAATTCACCTCAATGCTTAAGTGCAAAGACTATCAACCCGTTATGACCCAAATTAAAGAAGAGTGAAACGAAAAGGTTTGCATTTTGGTACTTAGTAAACCTATAGTTCATGTATTTATTAGTATTCCACTAACGCGACATTGTGCCATTTCGCCGTTTATTTGATCATAGCGTATTCCGATAGGTGGATTGTTGTCTTGATGAGATGGAAAAAAACCTATCAATCACTTTCTATAGGTTTATTTAGGATTACAAACGGAGCGACTTCGATGTCTTCAATATTGTTTCTTTACTTATCTGAGAGCTGTAACGAAATTTTTCTTAGTTCTATGTTTTATCTCTCTGAAGCAATTTGTATCTTCAGGCAATTTGTCTCTCCAAAACAATTTGGAGGACAAATTGCTATTGCGATTTTCAAACTTTTATAATATAATATTTTGTAATATAAATCAATTTTAATCGATTCTCTCTCTCTCTCAGTTCCTTTGAGTGGCCAAGTTGGGAGACTACTAACCACGCACTGCGAAAAACGTGCAACCATCATAGCAGTCTAAAGAGGTGTACTGCTTTAGGCTGAAACTCTGTAATGTGTTGTTTTGTCTATTTAAGCAAATAAATATCTGGTAGCGGACTGTTTGAGTCATTTAAGTAACTACGTACCCAGTTCCATTTCGTTTTAGAGGCATTTTTCTGGAAAGTGGGATTTGCTTATAAAAATTTTTCTTGATAATAAAAATTGAACTGAAAATGCTAGCTCATTGCATATTAATTACTGTTGAAAGTCATTTGCTGACGAAATATATTATCTTTCAATGATTTCAAAAAGCAACACGTAAATAAATTCTTAATTGCCATTCGTAACTTAGCATCTTTAATATTATTGCAAGTAGAGTAACCAGCATTTTATGACGATTCAAGATATTAAAAGCCCTAGTCTTCTTTAAAATAAAATCCTATATTGCCTCCGTAATGAAGTTATTCATTGCGTTTTCGGGTTTTTCGCTTTCAATTTCATTTCCTTATAACTTTTATTGGCTTGTATCTTGTATCTTATTTAATGAATGCTTGTAATTTAATAAGATTTTATTAAAAGTCTTTTTGTACGTGTCTGCTATACGGTATACCTATAAGAGTACGATGTTAGGCAGTAAACAGAGTAAGTAAAAAGTATGAGGTAAGAATGAGGTAAGTGGATTCAGTTAACGATTGCTTCTCATTTAATTGTTGTTTTTGTAATAAGCAAATGGCTGCGACTATAGCTTAAGGCTAAAAAGTAAGTTTACAACATTTGTAAATGAACAAATAATGTCTTATATTTCAGTTGGTTTACAGCTATGTTTTACCCCCAAACTTCATCTATGTTACTTTACTGCACAAGCAAAGTACTGTCATTTACAGTTACCACTCACCGAGTACACAAATTTCTTTAATGAGGCGACAACATTTTTAATTAGCACCTGTTATGCTTTATGCTAAAGCATTGAAGAATTTCAGGGCTGCAAATGGCAAATGGCAAAACATGTGCTAAGGGTCCATAAAATTAATTTCCAACCTGCCGCAGTAGCAGCCACAGCCGCAGTCGCACTCAAACTTAACAGCTACTGTAAGCATTCATTTTGTGTACTGTAATTTAAATGACGGCACACACTCATTCATTCATTAATTTTCATTTACTTTAGCATAACGTAAACAAATACAAAGAAAAACAAAATATGCAAGAGTTCTGCGGAAACATTTTATGAAGATGAGCTAAGACCAAGACGGTGTTAATACAAAACTTCACTAACGCCAACACACACACAACACACACACACCACACCATATATTAGGAAGTATAGTGTAAAAAAAAACTCGCAAAAAGCTTTTTAACCCATTTAACAGTGTTCTATTTTCAATGTCGTCGCTTTCATTTGGTATATAATTTTATACTTCCTTTGGAGCGATCGGGTGGTCGGGTAGTCGGGCGGTTGTGGATGATGGTCGCTTACAAAGCTCATCGTAAAGTTGCCGCATAAACATATTTTTGTTATTCTTTTCATTGTGTTTGTCTGTCCGCTTGTCTGTCTGGCTGCGTGTTATTGTTATTTCAGCTTTACGTTTGTGCTTTGGCAATAACTTGTAAGTGTTTCTAAACAAGCACAAAGTCATGTTTCAACAGATGTGGTCTGGCTGCAGTGGTTGCTGTTGTTGTTGTTGTTGTTACTGTTGTCGATTGTTCTTCTTGGCTTTAATATCTCATATTTTTTTTTCTTTTTCATATGTAACGTATATATAAACGTAAATATTTTTTATTTCTACATCTATTTTCATTTTCTAATGTTTTTGTTTTCAAACTCTTATTGTTGCTTTCGTTGCTTTCCTTGGGTTTGTTTTGTTTTGTTTTACTTGAAACGCACATACACATTGATATGTGCCTAGCAAATTCAGTGCTAAACTCAGCTCACATTAAAGCAATTGCCAACGTTTATGGACTGATTTAATAGAAAATAAACGATGTGAGTTAATGTGGAGACAATAACGTACACACACACATAAACACACATACTTCGATATTCAAACAAAGTGAAGTGGGTGTAAGTGCAGCTGAAGTGAATTTGAGCCCCAACTCCAACTTGATTTTATTGCTAACAACGGCAAATGGCAGTACGACAGCAGTACAACAGCAGCGACAAAAACAACAATTACTGCGTGATGCTTACTCTAATTTCAAGAGCTTTACTTTAGTCAGAAATTCATTTAATTCTCTTCCGACTGGTTGACTATGGAGTACGCTTATACAAATACATAAATATTTATGTTTAAGTGTGTGCCTGCCTATGTGTTGGAATGTTTCATGAGCTGCAGAATTAATAAATGGGTCGCATCGAAGCATACTGCAAGCGTATAAGTAACGATATGAGGCGGGGTAATGAGGGATGGATGCCTTTCTGTTGGTTGTTGGTTGTTGGCTGTTGGCTTAATACTAAATACCAAACTCATCGCAATACGAGGGTGAAATTGAAGTCTAAATAAATAGACATAGTTAAGTAAACACGCGCTTTGAAATTGTGTATTATCCAAATCCTTATGAACTCTAACGAAATTAAAAATATATAAAACATTAAACATAGCATAGGATATTTAATTCAATTTTTCCGGTTCGAGTTTTTTTTTCCAATATACAAACATTTTTCTTCCTCTTCCATTTAATACAAGTGCAATTTAAATGGAGAAAATGTTTACCCACAATCTTTGCAATTTGTATCTAAAGAAAATCCCACTAAGAAAATTGACATTCTGCAGATTTTTAAAAATATTAGGAGTTCATATTTGATGACTTACTCATTATACATTAATTAAAAAAAAATAGAATTCAGTACATACGTGAGTATGGAGAAGAAATGGGTATGGCTTTCACGAAAATTAAAGTAGGGAACTTTGTGAGATAAAATATATTTGATGTATGCTTTCGCAAATATTAAAAATTATGTAGGCTAAAAGTCAATGTGCAGAAACAAAAAAGGAAGAAACTGTTAATAATATTACATATACAGTAAAAGTGAATTTGGAAATTAAAAGTAATCACTCTTAAAATAAAACATTTGAATATGAAACGATATTCGTATAATTTTTTTTTGTGACGCATCAGGTGTATGCATAAGATTTTTCCCGTTAAATTATGAGATGACGTCAGTAAAAGCACGAAGTATATATTAATTTGAAATATACCTTCTTTTGTTCAACTGACATTAAACCACAAAAACACAAGTTGATTCCGCCAAAAACTACCGTTGAACTTTAAGCCTGAAAAAGAACATTTGCGGTACGCATTGCTTTTCTTATTTAATCAATAGAAAAAGGCAGTTGATAGTCATTGTTCGCTGTTAGAAATACATGGTCAACACAATTCATGGATTAGAATATGTGAGACATGGTTTTAAAATTTAAAAGTGGTGATTTCTATTAGTAAACGCGCTAATAGATTACAAATCTATTATAGTTCTTCTATAGTTGTTGTATGATAACCCAACTCAGACTGCTCAGATTGTTGTTGTATGATGACCAAACTCAGACTGAACTGCCATTGGTAAAAACATTAAGTGTATCACAAGAAACAATCAACAAATTTTTATAAGCAATGAGGAAGATCTATAAACTGGCTAACCTGGTCCCTCACAGTTTGAATGAATGTCTATAGTTCTTCTATAGTTGTTGTATGATAACCCAACTCAGACTGCTCAGATTGTTGTTGTATGATGACCAAACTCAGACTGAACTGCCATTGGTAAAAACATTAAGTGTATCACAAGAAACAATCAACAAATTTTTATAAGCAATGAGGAAGATCTATAAACTGGCTAACCTGGTCCCTCACAGTTTGAAAGAATGTCAAATGGTAATCGTAAAGTTACTCGTTAAATCATGCTTTAACACCACGCAAAAAACAATCGTTTTTGTATCGAATTGTGACGGGTGACAAAAAAAAAGCATTTATTTTGATTTATTTAAATCACACTTTGATCGAAAGACGATTTAAATGGGTCAAAAGATATGGTAAAAGGTTTTTGTTACACGACAAAGTACCGACTTACACAGCAAAACCAATCACAGACCAAGACAGACAGACTTTGAAATCGCTTGGATAGGACATCATTCTGACTATCACTTTTTCGCACTAATGTGGTATACGTTCACAGAACAGCACTTAACTTATTTCGAGGAAGTTTTTCTGACCTGTATGATAAGGAAACGTATAGAAGCCAATGGCTAATATTTTGAATAAAAAAAATTTTACCAAAAAAAAAAACCAAAAGTACAACTGGTGTTTTAATACAAGACACAAAGACATTTAATCATTACAACTAGTATACCATATATATGGTTGGAAGTTTGCTTGGTTGCAGTAGAATGTCAGCACATAACTTTCGGTTGCTTTCAATTAGAAAATTTTCGCCATTTTGCTTTAGATTCAATGAAGCAAACTGAATTTAGATAATTCGAAAAATCTTTCGTCCTTACCAATAAATAATTCGACAAGAGAGAATACTTTACAGTTTTTTTACACTATAAGTTTATCCAACTTTTGCAGTTAAAAAAAGTTTAATACTTCTGTATAATAAGGAACGCGCAGTTTCTCTGCGACGATTGCTATACATCAGAGAGAACTGCCTTCCACTATTCATGCCATCTCTCTTAATAATATCCCAAGAACTTATATAGACTTATATAAAGCTCTTGTTATATGAGGATTACCCAATTGAAGAAAGTAGAAGTAAATGTATCTCTTCACGATCGCAACATAGACTCGTACTCTAGAGTACATCTAGGGAAGCACCCTGATAGGTCAAACTGTTAGTATGTAATAAGTACTAGATTTCGTTAGATGACGCGACTACTTTTTATCTGAGTAACCAATGTAAAATTTTTAATAGGTTTCTTGAGCAGTAGTGAATTACAACAAATAAATTGTATTAATTTTATTTAATTGAATTTTTGGCTGACTATACAGTTATTTTAAGTATTGCTAAATATCCATCATCAGTGGTCTTTACGGAATCAGTTTTATAATAAGTAAAAGTTTTATATTTTATAGCTTGGTACTTGAAGAAGAAAAATATATATGTAGGCATATAGCATAGTCGAAAAGGTTATTCAGAGTAGCCGCTTTTATGTGAAGTTGTCGTCATATTGTGGTACCTAGAAATATTGTTAACGCGATTTAACTTTTAAATTGTATTGGAAAGTAATTATCTGTACATCTATATTTTGGATTAAAGCAAGTATATCTTACAGCTTGCATTTATGTTGGACAAAAAAATTTCTATGTTAAAAATTTTTTTAAAAATATCAAAAAATCTTGCTCGAAACGCTGTAAGTAATAAGAGATGAGAAATTGAAATTTGCTAATTTGAATTATCACAAATTTGATTAAACACATCAAGTTGATATTGCAATTTAATCCTGCGATATTTGATCAATAATGAATACATTATTATCGTACAAAATACGAATCTAGTTACTTTATTAGCAAATTTTTAATTTACACTTCCCATGCAAAATACCATAGAAATTTAATCCAATTCTGTCATTTCTTTACTAGATGAATTATTTTACATTTCGAATTTTGGTTGGAATATCTGCTGTCATGTTGTATCTATGACTACAGGTATTTATTAGCAGGAGACTCAATAAACTTAAGAACAATTTATTGAACCCCACAAACAAGCACACATGTAGGGCAATTTTCGACACTGAATATGAAAATTTGTACAAGAATTTGTTTCCTTGCAATCGAAATTATAAAACATAATCGCCTCACCGGGTTTGCCTATTTGCAGTTGCCTTTGGCATAATGAATGCCATGAGAACAATCCAAAGTAATGGTGTCTCCTTGTTAACGTACATGTGCTTAGCTTATATATGTACATACACTGTCATGTGATTTCAGTATATCTGCTTGTATACATGTGTGTGTGTTGTGTGTACGTATGTTAAAACAAAAAGTTTATTGCTTATCTTAAAATGAATGCACGAGTGTTCCATGGTCTATTAATTCGCCCTTGCCGTTTCATGTTAGCTGCACCCTTGACGGCATTTTGCATACCAACCCAGTTTAAAGTCCCCCAACTCTCCCATGGGTACACTTTTCTTGCCTAGTAAGACAATGCTTACATCCATATTTATTAATGCTTTTTACGGTTTACACTCTTTGAGTGCTTTATCAAGTCGTAAGCATAAATAAGTTTAATTTTTATCTCGAACATGTTTCTGTTACAATGTACTCGCATGTCCTTGTTTGTAGTTATGTGTGTGTAAACCTAATTGCGCAAACGGCATCTCTGCCTGCATCAAAAAACCGTAAAACCAATCGCCCGTGGTGTATTTCAAATTTGAACCTTCAAACTAGAAACCTTCAAATAGGAAATTATTTTACAGGCATGAAGACTAAGTTGATTTACCCAATTTTAAATTTTGTACTATCCGGAATGCCTGCACGTGTTGAAAACGTAAAATCCTTTAATTTTAAATAGCGTTCAAATAATTGGCGCACAATGTTCTCGAAATATTGTTGGAGAGGAACTTCAAACGTAAAAGCAAAAGGAATACATACCTGGGTTAACTGTGATGATGCATAGTACGATATTCTCGAGGGACAAATCGATTCTGGCTTGGAATAAATTGTTTCGGTGATTTGATCACCCATCGGCAGTAGTGCTGTTGCATATGGAGAAGGAGTTGGTGAGTTACGAAAACCTAGTAAAAAGTAAAAAATTGTTTTTATTAAATTAGTTACTAAACGTTTGTGAAAATAACTTTTCTATATACTTATATTAATTTAAATAAACGATAAAATGTTCAATCATAATATTAATTCTATATCCAAATAGATAGCGTTAAGTCAGCCCGGTTGTTGTTATTGTGGTCTCTAAAGTCTAACATGATACGGTAGCAAGCCCGGGTTGCTCGCCCATTTTAGGGTAGGTTTCTTAGCTAGGAGCTAACAGCTGATATCAAACAAAAAAAATTCGTGGTATTATTTAACTGCAAACACCTATATAAATTTTGTAATCTTTCTCTCTATTCGCATGGTATAGTCCGTCGGTTAAGACTAATCTCTCTAACACAGCCTATGCATCGTGATATATAGTCTTGAAAAAATAAATTTTCGTTTTTAACTTAGTAATTTTCATAAGTAGTACACGAAATTTTAAAATGATAACTATTATCCAAGCTAATCCAAGATCATCATACATTTTTTAGTGGTGTTAGTAATAGTAGTTACTTAGCTCGTAGCAGAAGTCTTGAGTTGTATACGTAATTTAGAAACGATGAGGATCTAACCAATATTCTGGAGCACCAGCGATCTCATATAAGTTCACAGGCAGTTTATCATAATTCCATTTAATGTCAAGGTCTTTATAGACACTTGAATTAAAATTGAGTTTCTAAGATAACCATTTATTGCATAAAATTACAAAACGAGGTATTGATAATATAGTCCAGAAACTAACAGCCGAAGATCCTTTTAATATGTCTGAAATCCAAGACGATTCTAGGGACTCGGTCCGATGGGCTACACCGTTAAGAAAAATTTGCTATTGGTAGTTGAAATGTTTGGAACATCGAATTTTACGCAATCAACTAGAATATCAAGCAGAAGGAAGTGGGTGTTTGTTGCACAGTATTTGTGAAACGGAATTGCTTTGAGGCCTAAGAAGCTACTAAAAATCTTGTACCAAAAGTCTACAGTACATGCTAGCCCATGATATAAAACATTCATTTGACATGCTCCTAAACCGCTCACTGTGACTTTCAAAGTAGTAGTAATACTAAGGTAAAAATGGTTGGGTCACATGAAATTCATAGCGTGAAAAAGTCTTTTGAAATCATATCAGTTAACTGACAGTGTTTTAAAAGTTTTGGTACCAGACTGGTACAACGGCAGAAGTGATGTGGAAAGTTGAGGTTCGCATTGAACGCAATCCACATCAAAATCGCAATTGAAAACAAATGATTTCTTAGTTGCATATATTAAGAGGAGCTGTGATCGCTATGTGCTGTGAGCACCAGTTCCAAGAAACAAAACATTTCACAAAAATTCGAAAAAAATCACGTTCGAAAGTGAAAAGTGAAAATGTTAAAGAGGAAAAGTAGATGTCTATGCACTGTCGTGGTAAAGACGTTTCTACATTTTAGAGACACAACTGTTTAAACAAGTGCTTAGTAGTTTCCGACAATATCAGATGGAAAATAGCTGACTTCTCCGTATTGGTTGTTTTGCTCTTGATTCAAACTCATCCAGGGTGAAGTGCATTGTGTCTCTACAAAAAATAGCGGCAATATCTCAAGAACTTTTATGTTAACTTTATTAACTTAACTGTAAGTTAACTTTATTTATTAACTTTACTTGTTCATAAGTTTAAACAAAACTTATTCAGTTTTTTATTATTCTTATATATATCTTACATATGTTAGATACCGTGGATACCTTATATATCTTACACTATATTAGGCATTTTTTTCCTAATTATATATTAATAAATTATAGTTGTTTTTATCACAAATAAGTTTTAGACCTGGCAATTCTTTTTCATTTTTATAGCTTACAATATTTATATTTTCAATGCTTTTTAATAATCACTAACGGATATTGCTATTTTGTCTACTATATCGTTTTGTGTTTTAGTTTTCCTCATTTTTAATATTATTTGGTTTTTAATAATCAGTTTTAATACTTTTTATTACTTTTACCTTGAACATAAAACTCATTAAATGGCATAAATAAATAAGTACTTACGCTCAAATATGCTGCAGGACTTTTTAGTATCTGAGGGATACTTATTAAGACTAGCTATAGTTGCGTACGACCCACTGTTAGCACTGGGTGGTCGACCCAGCGGATCAAGACGTATGAAAACATTTTGATGGCTACCATAAGCTGCGGTTGTGAAGCTTGTGCTTTAATATTGAAAAATAAAGAAAAAATCAATGCAAATGAAATTACTTTAGAATTCAATTGAGCTCTCGAGTATCTTTTAACTTACTGCAAAGAATCCTGACGTAATTGTTTACGTGCACGCAGGTACATTGCACTTGCAATCAAGCCAACCACTAATACCAAACCCAATGCACAGGCTGCAGCGCCTAACAGTGCTGGACCCTGCGATGGTGCATGTGCAGGAGCCGGTGATTGATTTGGTGCTGGGAACATACCTATTAGGAAAACCAATATAATAAAATTGTGTAAGCTTATTATGAACTTATCTTCTGCTACTTTAAACCACAAACCTTTTAAGCAAACTTTATTGCGTTTAAAATGCAATCTTGTATCATTAGTCCGTGGTGGGCCACGTACCACCATGTTGACACTAAGTGGTACTTGCTCGGTAGCGTTTCCTGTGCAGGGCAGATGCACCAAAAATGTTTCAATTTGCGACGGCACTAAGCCCTTGTCTGGTATACTCAGTGTGGGTGCCGCCAAAGCCTCCTGCTCGTGCTCGAGCTCTATGGTAATGGCATAAGGTAGCTGCAATAGTTTGACAAAATATAGGTTAATGGAGTGCAAATTAGTTTTTGACTACCGTGCAGCATTACAGGCAATAGAAATTTCGAAATTTAAAGCTGTTTATATTTGTAGTTCTTTTTACCTTAATGCACAGCACAGCAACAAAATAATAGAAATTTTCCTCAATAATACTTACCGGGTATGTTGTCAGACTCTGCCATGAGAATTCCAGATCATGTACATCCGCCGGCACAGGTACGGTGAAATGCATTGCGTATGTGTTTATTGCTCCCTCGTGAACATAAAATAAATCCGCTTCCAAGCCTGTGTCAATGCACATATAACATATTTAGCGACGTCGGGGAGAGGGGGATTGAAGCGTGAAGTAATGTTGCGTGAAAGAAAGCAGAAAGAAAGTAATGAAAGTAAAGCATAAATAAAATTGTTGTATCACATTATAAAGCAATTTGCTATTGTATCAATTTTCTAAAGGGACCTTTTCATGCTTGCGAACAGAATCTTGCATGCAGCAGGGCTTCTGGCTGACATTATTGAACAACACAATACACAATGAAAGATAAATGGAGCGGTCCGTACGGGGCTAGTTCGAGTGTTTGCTCACTTTAAGACACTCTATACCTTTGCTGCTATTAATTTTCTTACAAATAACTAAGTAGCTCACGTAGATTTGTACGCGTACTCATATGTGCGAGTTAGTTTCCGCATAAAAATTGAAATTTTTAGCATATCGGATTTTTCCGTATTTCCTTTTTTCTATTTCAACGCTTAAAAGGATAAATTCAACAATGGATTTAAATTGCTTTGTATATGTAAGATGTTGTTGTTGCAACATAATATTTTCATCCATTTTAAGTGGTTCCAAGAAATCATTTACAAAACAAGCATGTAACATGACGAGTTCAGGATGCTTGAATTTAAATAAAAACTGCCAGAACTGAGCGAGCTGCAAATAAGATTGATGTAATTCCATGAATACAATATCGCAAAATTGCATGATAAACGAGGGAAGTGAAGTCGGTTCTGTCTGTGCATATAAATATTTGTATACTTCGACAGCAATTCTAATTTTATAGAAAAAAGGGAAAAAGTATAGACAAGTATTCGTAAAACATGAATCCGATATCCAAAGATATTCACTTTATTATTTTATGTAATTTCTTAAACAATACTTAAGAAGAATATACTAACTGGACCAGAAAACTAGAATATGTCGCGAAAAAAGTTAGAAATTCTGGTAACTATTTGGTAATATTTAATTCTTTAATTCTTCATTTAAAATAACTACAAATACTTCTCAACCCGACAAAGATGATGTTAGTACACAGCTTTAATGCTATATTTGCCGAATGATTTCAGGTTGATTAATATAGGCAGTTTAATCTATGTGAATATAATCACAAATGTGGTAAACTAAAACATAGTCATTAACAAACTATACCCACTAAAACTACAAAGTTATCAAACTTATTTATATTTTGTCAGTATTATTTATCAACGAATCGAAATTACGACAAAAAATGATTATAATAATAAAATCAAAAACTTGGTTTTACAAGATTGAAAAAATTAAAACGATTTTTTTTTGTTAGAATCATGGACCGTGAAAACCAGAAAAAGTTCCAACAATATTATATTAGTCTAAGGAAATATTAATACTCTTAACATATCGAAAATGTACAAGTTGTTTGGATGGCCAAAACCTTCATTTAGTGTTAAGGTAATTCAGAAAAAGAATATACATCGATGCGATTCCGATTTCCTGAGCATTCTTATTTGACTTATTTCGATTTTAGTAGAGTAAGCTATCTTAAGTTATTAACTTTTACGTTAATTATACTTTCAAAAACTACACGCGCTATCTATCAAATTTCACACATTGATAACACAAATGACCAATGGCAATAAGAAGAAAAGGTATGAGTGGGCAAAAAAACATCACCTCTGCGGAAACAAAACGCAGTACAAAAAACAATGGAGAAGGAGGTATTAAACATACCTTTATCCCCCAAGCCTGATGATAGTGTAGAGGATAAGCTGGTACAACTATCTGCGATGATGGAATCACAAAGGCATATTAATAAGGATATGCGGGATCTGCTTGCACAGATAGTTAAGATGTATAAGACGGAACAAGAAAGGGGGCCACAAGTGCCGTTGGTGGCTAAGAGTGTAGCTTCCATTAGCGTGCAAACTCAGGGAGCACTAAAGCGTGCTGCGAAAGAAAAACCGAACGGTCCACCACCCAAAGTCCAAATTAGAGAAATTGGAAGTAAGGAGCAGGAAACGAATTTTCACAAATGGCAGCTAGTGCAAAAGAAAAAAGGGAAAACTGTGCCAAATCTGGAGCTCATTAAAGCGCCTAGAGTAAAACCGGAAGCAATTCTCATTAGTAAGACGGCAGACAAGTCTTACGCTGAAATGTTAAAGATCATTAAAACAAAACCAGAGCTACAAGAATTCGGAAAAAACGTGAACAAAATCCGAAAAACTAAAGAGGGGGAAATATTGATTCAGCTTACCAAAGAAGCTGGAAATTTAGCGAAGGACTTCTGCAATGAAATGAAAAACACACTTCAGAATTGTGCTAGTGTAAAATCTTTAACACAGCACACCCTAATAGAATGCAGGGATTTGGACGAGATAACATCCAACGAAGAGGTGCGCGCGGCGATTGCTGATCAATTTCCAGCAATAAATGTAAGTGACATCAACGTCAAGTTTTGGCGTGCCGCAAGGGACAGCACAAGATCAGCAATTATTGACCTTCCTACTAAGGATGCCAGTATATTGATTGCAGCTGCCTCAGTCAGAGTTGGCTGGGTACGCAGTAGGATCAGAAAGCATATCACACCCATGAGGTGTTTCAAATGTCTTCAATTTGGACACGCTGCTAGACAGTGCAAAAGCGATAATGACAGATCAGGCACATGTATGAGATGTGGACAAGATGGTCACAGGGCAAAAACGTGCTCGGCGCAACCAAAATGCATCCTATGTCCGGAAAACTGCAACGGTGGCAATCTACACTACTCAAGAAGTTCCAAATGTGAATTCTACAGGAAGGCTATAAAAAATGATTAAATTTCTGCAATTGAACCTAAATCGATGCGAAGCTGCCCAAGACCTTTTATCCCAAACAGCTTTGGAATTAAAGACAGATGTACTCATAATTAGTGAGTTTTACAAATCAAAAGAAACCTCCAAATGGGTACAAGATACTACTGCAAAGGCTGCCATTTGGCTAGGACAGGACATAGTGTTTGAACCAAGAGTATTGATACAAAAAGAAGGTCTAGTACTTGTCAGAATCCGGGGTATCTATGTGTGCAGCTGTTACATATCCCCAAATATCTCCCAAGAGAGATTTGAAGAGTTTCTTGATAGGCTATCAGGAACAATCAGAAACAAAACTCCCATCATTGTTGCAGGGGATTTCAATGCTTGGGCAGTCGAATGGGGCAGTAGTAATACAACGCGCCGAGGTAGAGCCCTATTAGAAACGTTTACCTCACTAAACCTAATACAACTGAACAATGGGCATAGCCCAACGTTCGATAATGGTAGAGGCGTTTCCTACATAGATCTCACCTTTGTCAGCCCGTCATTAGTAAGGGGTTCGCAATGGAATGTAACAAACCACTACACCCACAGCGACCATCATGCAATTCTTTTTTCCTTATCGCTAAAAGAGAAGTTTGTTTTGAAAAAATCGCAGAGAAAAGCACAGCAAATAGGCTGGAAATCTAAGTATCTTGACACAGAGATAATGGAATTCATGACCGAAAACATGAGTTTCGGAGTCGGGGATGCTTTTGAAAAATCAAATCACCTTATGAAGGAATTATGCAACGTCTGTGATGCATCAATGCCAAGAAAAGGCAGAGGTAATGGGCGCCCATCAAACTATTGGTGGACGGAAGAAATAGCTTTACTAAGATCTCAGTGCTTTGCCTCCCGTAGGCAATTCCAACGTCACAGATCTGGAGTAGATGCGGAAAGGCTTCTACAAAAATACCGAGAGAGCAGATCTAAACTTAAAAAGGCAATTATTAGGAGTAAGAATCAAGCTTTTCAAACTCTGATCAATGATGTAGACCAAAATGTCTGGGGCGATGGCTACAAAATAGTAATGCGTAAATTTAAGAGGTTAAGAGGCTCGGTACCTTCATGTCCTAAAATAATGGCGAATATCGTGAAACATTTGTTCCCAAAAAAGGGAGAACTTAGAATTTTAATACCGATAAACACCGATTTAAATGAGATACCTCCGGTTACAAATTCTGAAGTCATAGCCGCTTCTTCCAGAGTTAAGCCCAATAAATCTCCTGGTTTGGATGGAATCCCCAATACTGTACTGAAGAAGGCAATACAAAAACAAGCTTCTATATTTACGGATGTTTACAACAGCTGCCTACAGGAAGGAATCTTCCCTTCGTGTTGGAAAAAGCAAAGATTGGTGCTTATTCCTAAAGGTAATAAGTCCCCAGAACTGCCATCATCTTATAGACCTTTATGCTTACTAGACACTGCAGGTAAGGTCCTTGAAAGAAATATAAGTTCTAGATTAGAAAAATTCACAGAGACAAGTCAGGGTCTATCAAATAACCAATTTGGCTTTAGACCTAAACGCTGTACTGTTGATGCTGTACTACATGTATGCAACATTGCAAAGGAAGCTACTAAGGGCGTAAGGTGGCTAGGTGGTACTAAAAAGTACTGCGCGGTAGTGACCTTAGACGTTGAAAATGCTTTCAACACTGCTGAGTGGAGTAGCATCTTAAATGCACTGATGAAAATGAGAGTCCCAGAATATCTTTTGAAAATTATTACATCATATTTTAAAGACAGATTACTCTTATATGATACAGAATCCGGACCCAAAACATATAGGATTACGGGAGGGGTCCCCCAGGGATCAGTTCTAGGGCCAATTCTTTGGAATATCATGTACGATGGTATCCTTCGAATTGAAAAGCCGGACGGAGTGCACGTAGTTGGGTATGCAGATAATATTGCAATAGTAGTGGTTGCAAAAACTCTAGACGAAGTGGCTAGGAATTGCAGCGCTACTATTGCAGCAGCTAAAGCGTGGCTGCAATACAGCGGATTAGAGCTTGCTGAACATAAAACTGAGGTGCTATTAATCAGCAGTAGGAAAAAGATTGAACAACTCTCAATTAAAGTGGGTGGAGTAGATATACAATCTAGCCCCCAACTTACATATCTTGGTGTAACCTTAGATAGTAGGTTGAGTTTCAAAACTCACCTAAAACAATCGGGAGATAAAGCATCACGTGTCTGCA